TTTTAAATTAACTTTTTAATATTGATTAGAATATTAATTATAATATAAATACAATAAAATAATCATATAAAATTAGTGAGTTAAATAGTTTTTTTAAAAAGAATAACCTATATTATATTTGATCTCACAAATCATAAAATCACTAATCAAAAATTTTTTATTTTTTTTTATTAACTAGCCTCTTTGGCATAGGGGTTTTTATTCAAGTATAATGGGCAAGGAGCTCATAATGGAACTCCAATTATATTAGAGAGTATAACTAACCTCATGTGCGCTTTTTGAATGTCTATTTAAGTAGTCCGTGTATAGATATATACTATAGGTTCTACACTAGCTGCCATACCTATAACCCAACTAGGGGATACCTATTTAAACTCTCTGTAACATACACTGCCCTCTTGTATTACTAGAACACTTTGTTACATTTATTAGTCAAGAGTTCCAGATGTATATCGTAGCCTTAGAACTAATTTATTCTCGAGGCATCATTGTTAGAGCTTTCTGTATCCACAATCTGGCTAACCTAGACTTTTGGTAACTTATGTCAAGTCCGAAAATGAGTACTTGCAAGCTGAAGCTGCTACTATTACTTACTATTACCCTTATAGAGTTCACTCAAATCCCAGCATCCACTTTACAGACCACTGGTCCCCAAACTCCCAATCCAGATAGCCCAGAAGGACGGACCTCTTCTTTGGAATACACCGACAGCCTTGTTAGTATAGTGCCTTGCCAAACACCTCAGTCTCGTTTAGTTTCCAGATTTTCGGTAATAATCCTTTATATAGCCCATCGAAAATCTGTATTACCTTCTACTTAGAACTTGCCAAGCAGGCTTCTGTATATTCCAATACCTGGATTTACACAACTGTTTCACCCAGTTTGTATAGCTTATACATCATACTATAGTTTCACAGCTTCCTAATAACCTTTGGTACAACCAAGTTTACAGATCTGCTAATCCATCAGATTATATACAGTTTGCCGTAACACATTCCGTAAATTCGAATTTCGTCACCAGTAGGATTCAAACTCTTATCCTGCTGCTTAGAAGTGCTCTAATCAAAATTTACTAATGAAGTATAGTCTATTCATTAAGTAAAAAATACTAACTGAAAGGTGTAGTGACTTAGTAAAGTGGTGAAGTTGTCGCATCTCCAAATAGTAAGAACAGAGTTCAAATCCCATTAGTGACGAAAATTCGAATTTTTAGTATATTATTACGACAACTGTGAGTATAAGAACGGATCGATATCTGTAACTAAGTTATACCAGCTCGTACTGGGAGACTGTAGAACAATAGTGTAATGTATGAGTTACATAAACCCTGAGTGAAGCAGTCATGTAAATCCGAGGTTAGCGTACATGAAAGCTTACTTGGCAAGACCTAAGTAGAGAGGTAGTACAGATCTTTGATAGTACTACATAAAGGATTATCAAACAGGATATCAGAGAACCGAACGGGACCGAAGTGTTTGACAAGGCACTCTACCAACCAGACCGCCAGAGAGTAACTGGAGAAAAAGGACCCAATTATAAGGACCAAGGGCAGGTCATAGCCCTTCCAAGCCATCTGGATTGGAAGTTTGGAATGACAGGTATATAGGAGATAGTCTGTATAGTGGGTGCTAAAGTTTGGGTAAACTTTGTACATACACAGAGTAGGTAATGGTAGCAGAGGTAAAAAGTCACAAGTACTTGGCCTCTGCCTAGGCGTAAGTTACTGAAAAATCTAGGTGATACATGCGTGAGACATGGACCGCTCTAGTAGGTTTATTACAAGGATAAAGAACCCTCCTATATGGAAGTGTGTGTCCACTTTAAAGTCCTAAGGGGCCTTTCTGGCGGTTCCTCTTTGAGGAAAATATCCAATAGCACTAAGTTGATTAGAGGGTTTAAATAGATAATCCTCTTAGTTGGGTTATAGATATAGCATCTAGTGTAGTTCATATGGGTTATATATGCAAAACTGCTTAAATAGACAACCAAAGTTGTATATATGACTAGTTGTATCCTCATTAATATAACAAAGTCAGAGGTAGCCTAAATGAGTTGTCTTGACATTTGAATCAAAGTTTAATAAAATATACCAGACCTCTAAGTAGTCACCTTAATATTAAAAAAAAAAAAAATACTAACTGATAATTGTTTTATATATAACTTTGCTGATATTGCTTAATACTAATATAGTTTTTCAATAAATTTTAACTCAGAAAATTTTTTTTTTTTTTACACTTAGAATACTAACTCAGAATTTTGAATATTGTTCTGTAAATGCATAGAATAGTTTCATTAACAGTAGTTTCAAATTACACTAATTTTAATTAAACAAGCTTTTAATTATAACAAATGCAAATTACTGATTCTAATATAAAGCTTAATCTTACCAAATTTTTATAGAATAAATAAACTATGTAATCAAGTTGATGTAATGATTAGTTCAAAGAAATTAATAATTTATCTTGTAGTTCAAGTTAAATATATAATTATGAATAAAGGTAAAAAAATCATTGTTATTAACTCTATAGTATTGTAATATAAAATATAATAACCAATTATTAATATTGAAGTTGACATTGTCATAAATTGACATAATTCTCATTGTTTATTTTTATTAGAATTTAAAATAATTGTTTATTTATAAAGGTTTTATTGTGATATTACTAATTACAATTTTTATACTTTCTTTTTACAAACCTTCTTTCAGATTATTGTTTATATTTTCTAAAAAACAGACTAAGTCACAATATTATAAAATTTACAAGCAAATACTTCTCTTATTAATAGCATATGGTTTACAAGAGGGCATCTATAAATAACATTATACAAGAGGGAGAAGTTTCACAAAAAGAATGTTTTTTTTATATTTTTTGCTAAGATAGAGGGGTCAAAGAAAATAATCTAATTTTTTTATAAAAATATTAATATCTTGTAACTCAGTAGTCCAAAATAGATGGAATTGATATCATTAGATTCATTTCTCTAAGAGGAATCCAATAGTACTAAAATTATTCAATTTAAATTACTAGATCAAAAGATATTAGCAAAAAAACTATTAGTTATATTATTTTATATGAAATTACTATATAATTTATAGTTTTTGCCTATATCTTTTAATTTAGTAATTCAAATTGAATAATTTTAGTACCATTAAATTTTTCCCAATAAGACAAATTTAATGATACTAAATTTATCTAATTTGGATTACTGGATTACAAGATAATTAAGATTTTGTAAAAATTTATATATAAATATATGTATTTTTAATTTTTTTTTATATAGTCTAGAGGGTTAAGAGGTTCTATATGTGAGTATATAATATTATTTATGAATGCTCCCAATAATCAAAATCATCTATCTAATTCTGTGCTTTTATATATAACAACAGAAATAAATATTTTATTTGATAATGATAAAAATATCACAAATAAAAGTAATATAAAATATGAAATAATCCAAACAAATCTAAAAGTTGGTGATATAACAACAGAACTAAATATTTTATCTGATAATGAAAAAAGTATTACGAATAAAAGTAATGTAAAAAATGAAATAATTTAAACAAACCTAAAAGTTGATGATGTCTTCAAAGATTGGAATGACATTGATAATGCAGTTAAGATATTTGTAAATAAACTGAGTTTGTTGCTATTAAATCTCATAAAGACCTTAATTTTGTTGATAAAAATATTGTTTATCATTGTGTTTATAGTTGTTGAAAAGCTAGAACTAATAATTCAAGAAAAGTAGAGAATATTAATTTACATTGTGATGCTGCTTTAGCAAAAACAAATTGTAAATGACAAGTTAGCTTCTATTTTAAAAAAAATGCCACTATAATAGATCTTATAAAATTTAAAGATGTTTATAATCATGATTGTGACTCAGTAACTATAGATTTAGCTTTCAAAAACTCATATATTTTTTAAGAGATTTTGGATAAAATTGAACATTATACTATTAATGATCATTTGGGTGCAAAACAATAATATGATCTTCTTGTTAAAGTGTTTTCTCAATACACTATTAAGAAAAAGGATCTATATAATGCAATTTAAAAATTTTGAGTGAGTTTAAATTTATAATAAGTCAAATGCTTCAACAATGTTTTTGTATCTTATGAAGTTGTGCAATAATAATAATGATTATGTGATTATTCCACATTTGAAAAGATCATCTAATGAATTTACTAGACTATTTTGAATGACTAGTCAACAAAAAAATGACTTTGGTCTAAATTTAATAATATAGTCATTCATAATAATATAGCAAAGACCAATCGATATAAAATATCTTTCAGTTTGTTTATTGGCATCAATAAAAATTTTAAAACAAGAATCCTTGCTCAAGTTTTAACAAAGTATGAAATGCAAACTAACCACTGTTGAGTATTAAATTGTTTAATAAAAGCAACTAATAATCTTTGTTCTCTTGTATTGTTTATAGATAATGATCTAGCTATAACAGCTGCTATTCAAATTGTTTATCCAAAGACTCATCATTTGTTATACATATTCTATATAATAGAAAATATCAAAAAAAAGACCAAAGTCAAATTACATGATGAGATGATTAACAGTTTCATAAAGATTTTTACCATATACATAATAGTCATAGTTATCATCAGTTTGAAGTAAGATATAAGGGAAATATGCCTATTTTGACGCAGTTAAAGTTTTTGCTAGATATATTGACCAAAACTGGATGATTTTAGTATCATTCGATTTGTATTATCGAGATGAATTGAATGGTACTAAAATTATCCAATTCTAATCACTAAATAACAAGATATCACTTATTAAAGGTTGTCTAAAAAATATGTTCCTAATTTGATATAGTGCCTAATTTGACGCAGTTATATCTTCCTTGGTTAGATGGAGTATCTCAAGAAGTATCGATCAGAATTGCATAATTTTAGTACCTTTTGATTCGTTTCGATAAGATGAATCAAATGGTACCAGAATCATGTGATTCTGATTGATACTTCTCGAGATATCATCATGCGTCAAATTAGGAACTGCATCAAATTAGGTATATTTCCCCTACGAAATGTTAAAAAAATACAAACCATGTTAGTCTTATCTTAAAAAAAACTCTATTCTAGTTATAAATCATAGACAAAGTATTTTACTGTGAAAGTGTTTATAGCAGGAGTTGAGTCAACTCAACATATTGAAGCTATAAACAGGATTCTTAAAAAACATCTGAATTAAGGAACTTTATTAAAGAAATTAGTAAAGGTAATCAAGTATGAACTTGAGAAAGAAGCACAATATAGTAAAATTAGAAATTATTATAAATCAAATCCTTCAACTAATCTTCCTTCAACTTACGATACTATTTTTAAGAATATTGATTCTATTCTAAAAGATTACTTAGCTTTTACTCCACTATTACTTCAGAGAGCCCAAATACAGCAATTATTATTGTATCAAGAAGCAACAACTACAATTGATCAGGTCAAAGAATATGATGTTAAATCTATAGATATAGTTAAACATATATATAACATATCACAAATTAGGCTACATAATCTTTTATCTAGTATAAATAATGATGAGATCTAAGAAATTTGGGAGGTTTATTTTATTGTTGCAACATCTTCAATATCAAAGCCACATTATATAGTAATTCTTAGTGATTTAATATTACTTTGTATCTGTATATATATTATTAATTAAGGGATACCTTGTTAGCATCAGTATAGAGATCTTCTTTAATCTAGCAAAGCTCTTTTCTATATGGGTTTAATTCATATATGTTGATTTGAGTCTATTCTTATTGAAACAACTAATTATATTATAATTTTAAAAGAACAAAAACTTATATCATTAAGCCATTGCATTATATTAATCAAATACAAGTTGAAAATAGTTTTTTTTTTTTTTTTTTAATTTTAAAAGGTGAGGCCATGCTTCTAACTTTATTGAAATTTAATCGAGTTCCTTTACAAAAAATACATAAGTTGAAAATAGTTATATATCTAATATTAGAGAAAATATTAATAAAAAGATAAATTTAGTATAACGATATCAGTAGCAAAGACCAGTATTCAGATTGCTATAGAAAAGATATTACATTAGAACTTACTAGCCTCCTTATAGAATTTATTACAAAATATTGTAGAAGTACTGGATTGAATATAGAAGAAGTTTACTACTTAGATAATGAAACTCAAGGGTCTTTAAATATATTAAATCCAAAATATTATAAGCCAAAAGGTCATTCTCTAAAATGTTTCAAGTCCTTAACAAAAGAAAATAATGGTCAACATATATCTTCATTTTCAAAACCTGTAGTTATTGTCTTGAAAAAGGTTATAATATTAGGGGATACAAGCAATATAAGTCTGATTTAGCTGATAAAAAAAAATAATTAAAAGAAAATAGTGGTTAGGGTTAAAATGCATTTAAAAAATATGTGATGTTAAGTAGAAACAGATTTAGATAATCTATACTCTGTAATATATACTATTTATATATATATATTCTGTATAGCGATAGTTAATCTAACAATTTATTATTCATATACATACTTATATATGCTATATTGTTATATTAGCAAATTTATTAGTCAAATTTATTTAAATTATATTATATTTTATTAGGCAATTTTTATTAGTCGAATTTTAT